GCTATGCACTGCCCCCCTCCCCACCACCACCACCCCCCGCCCCCAGCCTTGCCACACAAACCCAATACAAAACCAAAGCCACACCTAAGCCTTCTGTTGCACTCTGGCAATAAAGAACAGGGCTGTAACTGTTGGGAGCAGCTACAGATGACAGGACTGTCCCCTTGGGAGACCAAAGGATGGATTGCTGTTTTAACAAACCCACTACTTGACTGAAGTAGGACAACTCTCTTCCTAGCCTTGATGTTGATGGCAGAGCTCTGTGGAGCACAAATTTGACTTCAAGATTAACTGCCTTTCATTTCCTCTCTTGCTTTCTCAAGGCTTTATTTTGCTGTTCACCAGGCTGGTCACCACATCCCCTTTCCTGTTAAATCCTGTATCCACCTGTTTTGTGTGTTTGACCAATTCTGTGTTCTAGCTGACTGGCTCTGAGCTCCCTGGTGGAGAGCTGAGCCTGACTCAGGGGCAGCTTGGAGGAGGAGGAGGCCTGTGATCCTTCTCAGGTAAGTGGCTGTTTTCACAGAAAGACTAAATGTCAGGAGTGCACGATGGCCTTCCCCTTAGAAACACGTTGCAGCTCCTAGTCCTCCTGCAGTATCTCTGGACCGCAACACGTCTTTCTCCAAGTGATGAGCAAGTCCCATATTCATTTCCAGCAAAAGAAATTAGTAATGAGAGAAGAATATGGTCACAAAAGGAAAACTCTACTCCCTTTGTAGTCTTTTCCACACCAGCTTACTTCTCTTAAGCTGTCCATGCATAGAAACCACTTCCCACTTCCTGCCATTATCGGTTTCAGAACATTCAGGAACATTCTCCATCCTGTTAGTGGTTGAGGCCAAGAAGAAAGCTTGTCCTTAGTGCTGTGCTGCTTAAAGGATGTATGATGTTGCCATTTAAACAGTCCCTGTGGCAGGAGAAGAAAACACAGTTTTGAGGGGAAGCGTTCTTTCTTCTGAGACCCTGCTTGGAAGGCATGTGATGTTCAGGAGCTAAGCTTTTCTCAGGGACCCCATAGGCATTCAGATGCGAGGTTAAGCCCTGGGTCACAGCCAGGAAGAGGTTTAGGGTTTGGTGTGATCCTTCTGGAAGGATTTGGAGGCCTTGGTGAGCTACTCTCTGCATACAGTTGTCAGTTGTTGCTGTCCCAAGGATTGGTGTTTGAGCTGCTGCTGAAGCAAGGCACAAACGGGATCCCTGTCAACAGGGAGGATGTTAGAGCTCTGAGCATGGTGCTGTTGGCTGTCTGGTTCTTAGGGATTTCTGGTGGTCAAAGGATAATCTCAACAGAGGGAAAATACATCCCCTTGCACAGTGCGGATCTCAGGCTTGCCATCAGAAAGCTCAGGAAAACGTCTGTGCCAGGATTTAGTGTGGTGAAAGACAATGATGGATTGACAAGTGAGACAATACTCCTAGATTTACTGCTTTTTGGGGAAAACCCAAACAAAATGCCACCCAAAAAAACCCCAAATTAACAAGTGAGGGCTGACTAATTCTTTTTATTTGTATTTTCCATCTCTGCCCTTCCTGTGAAGACAGGCCTCGGCGAGGCAGTAGGCTGTCTCCCGTCGCAGCCACCCCCTCACTGAGCAGTGGTTTCCCTCCTCTCACAGAGCTGCCAAGGCAGCGTCTGCAGCAGAATTCATCAGGATCTCTTTCCTGCAGTTGTAACTAGTTAAAACCACCAGAGGAACAAGACTTGTTCTCCAGATTTGTAATGTCTGCTTGTGGCAGGCTTAGTCCTGGGAGGCAATAGAGGAAGAAGGAGTAGTTTGCACTCCTGGTTCATTATCTATGGGAGAAATAGTCATCGTCATATTTACAGGCCAAACATACTCTGGGTTTGTTTTGGGGGTTGTTTGCTGCCTTTTTTTTTTTTCCCTTGCCAGTAATTTCCGTATGAGCAATTCCTCCAAAAGCATTTCCCTTCTGATCTGCTGAATCAGAAGAATGGTCTGAACATGAGGAAACACTCCTTCCCTGTGAGGGTGACAGAGCCCTGGAACAGGCTGCCCAGGGAGGGGGTGGAGTCTCCTGCCCTGGAGACTTTCAAAAGCTGCCTGGAGTTGTTCCTGTGTGATCTGCTCTAGGTGATCCTGCTCTGGCAGGGAGGGTTGGTCTAGATGATCTCTAAGGGTCCCTTCCAACCCCTGCCACTCTGAATCTGTCATCAGATGGATGCTTAATGGAAGTGATGTGCGATGTACAGAGGTGTATTATCCTCCTCTCAGTTTCTAGTAAACACTTATTCTGTACTTTTCCAATTTTCTGTTTTGCACACTTGAGTTGCATCCTTACACAACTCTAGGATCTTCACTCTCCCTCAGCTTCTTCAGAAAGCTGAACTACACCTTATTCTGTGGTACAATTGTTTCCTTTGTTTACACGTCT